ATGGAGTAGAGGTCAATCAATGGCTATTAGCCAGGTTGGACAGGGATGCAAAACCATGCTCTGAAGTGTCCCTAACATCTCATTGCCAGTAGCTGGGAATGGATGACAGGGGATGGATCACTTGATGATTACCTGTTCTGTTCATTCTCTCTGGGGCATCTGGCATTGGCCAGTGTCAGAGACAGGATACTGGGTTAGATGGACCTTTGGTCTCACCCAGTATGGCTGTTCTTATGTAGAATGCAGATGTTGTAAAAGGGCAGCCAGCCTGGGGCACCATGATTATAGGTGCCCTCCATCAGCTTCTTTTCCCCCTTGGAAGCACATTCATTCCTCCTGTATCTCCCATGTCTTTGATAGAGTTACACCTTCATTACCTCTTTCCTATTCCTTCTTTCCTTCAACATTTCAGGCTCTCCCTCACTCTTCCTGCATATGGGAGAGAAGGCAAATGTTTCCTCTCTCGCTTCCTCCTCCTGAATGTTGAGTATCTTCATTCCCTCTTCATCTCCGAGACCTTCTTGGGGTGTGATCCTCCTACCACAATGCATGAATAATTCAAATTGTGTTGTGCACTGTGACCAGCAGGAAGAACAGGGCTATGGGTGGGATCTGGGTGGAGCTTTTCTGTTTCTCCAGCACACCCTGAACTTTCCCATCTATCACATTCGATAATAGGGATTGCTCCTTTTTGCCATCCATCCATCGCTCTTCCATAATTCTACAACAGCCTGGAAAGAGCATCTCCAATATGAGCTCTCCATGACAGACACGTATGGCAACCCCAAAATCCTTGGGAAAGTCAGTGCCACACATTGAGGGACTCACTGAATTCTTACTGAAGCAAACTTCCTGTGAAGTTAATTGAGCAGCACACAATGAGGCCTGAGGACTCACAGATGATTCAATTTTGACTCATGCCCTAATCCATTCTCCCTGAAACTTAATGTGAAAAGATTTATAGCACAGGGTTGACATCCCTCAGCTCTAGAAACTTGTCCCATTGCTGAGGGCAATTGGAGTGTCCGTGCATGTTGCAACCATGCTGGCTCCCATCTGTCCTATTTGGTGGATCAGTAAGATGTCAGAGAGCTTTGTGAATGTGGTGCCATAGTGTAAATATACACCATTTATGTGCAGAAAATCCTGTCTCCCTCTAGAGTCTGGACCAAGCATATATAGCAGACTGACAATAATTTACATGTACACTTTATTCCCTTAAGTCAGTTTAGAGGCCTGAGTTTTTCTTACTGGTTATTCTGGATTTAATGTCTTAGACAGATAGATAGATAGATAGATATTATCTATCTCAGCCCATAAACATGTATCTTATATACTAATTGTTATAAAATTTGCAGATGACATCAAACTGAAAAGACAGACATGGACTATTTTGGCAGTACAATTTTAATTTCCAGCCCCAATGACATGTCAAGGAGCAAAGTTCTGCTTCCAGGAAGCAAAGGAGGATGAGAGAGGAGGGAACCGCATCTTATTGAGTTAGAAACACTTCCCTGGGCTGGTCCTGGGCCAGTGCAGCAGAGACCCACCAGCTCTCTGAAGAAGGACAGGAATAGGTAGCTTGTGGCCATGGATCATTGAATAACACTGTTGTGGGCAAGATATCAATGAGAACTCTTGGCCCACATGTCTATTTACCTTCCCTTCTTCAGCCATTTCAGGTCATCAAACTGAAACATTCAATTAGCAGGAGATGAAGAGTGGGGATTGGTTGATTTACCCCTGATTTACCTCAGGGTCCCAGTACAAAGTGACCTGAGCTACTGACCTGGCCATGAATAAAATGTATTCCTAACCTGGTGATTTGATTAAATTCTTCTTGTTGGGGACACTGGGGCATGGCCACTAGGTAACTTGAGGGGATGGAAGACCACGAGTGTCGATGAAGCCCCCTCGCACTAGGCCCAAATGTCCTTGGCGCCCCCCCCTCCACCAGACTGGAGGCACTTACAGCAGCTATGCGTACTAGGCCCAAGTGTCCTTGGCCCGCCCACCTGAAGGCACTCGCAGCAGTTATGCTGAGGATCTGCAACAATATGTTGCAGAGTCAGACTGCCTGAAACGAAACAAGGCCAAACAGGGCAGATATGGAAGAACAATGCTGAATAAAGCAGCTTTATGTATAGTTTAACAAATGATACAAAAAACAAGGGAACTAGCTGGTAACTGGATTGGCTGGCTATATGGATACTTAGGGCAGCTTGCTATTGGATAAGTATGCTGAAGAAAGGATGTATAAAAGCCTGTGTAACTTCCTGCTCGGTGTGCAGGATTTGAGATTCTATTCTCCCTGTACCTTGTTTGCAACTGCAAATAAACTTTTCTGCTTCTCCACCCCGTTGTGATTATTGAGTGAAGCACACCGGGTAGCGAACCAACCCCTGCTGTTGTTTTGCCTCTCGGCACTGGGTGCAGGCAACATTCTTAACATAGAGCTTCATTACCACCTAATGCCTTCAAATATAACCTACACAAATATTGTAAATGAGTTCTAACATCAAGGAAAGAGGGACACATATATTTTATTCCAGTTTTAAAACCACTTGGGACAAAGCTGAAGGTGACAAATGCTAAATTTCTTAAGGACGTCATTTTAATTATTTTATTCTCATGAACTCATTAAAATATTTACTTGCAAATTCATCCACTCTCAAAGGAGAATAATCCAAATTCAAGGAGGATGCACTGCTTCCTCAAACATGAGTGTGGGTCTGAGGGTGAAGTGAATGTCTAAGGATACGGCTGGGTGTCCTAATTTTCATCCATAATGAGTGAGATGCCCACAGGTAGGCAACACATAGACTCAACACTTAGATACAAGGAGTCCTGATTCTGACAGTCATGAGTTCAGCAAGCACACAAAGATGAGTATGGGCTACTGATGTCGAATCATAGAATCATAGAATATCAGGGTTGGAAGGGACCTTTGGAGGTCATCTAGTCCAACCCCCTGCTCAAAGCAGGATCTCATCCCCAACTAAATCATCCCAGCCAGGGCCTTATCAAGCCTGACCTTAAAAACCTCTAAGGAAGGAGATTCCACCATTTCCCTAGGTAACCCATTCCAGTGCTTCACCACCCTCCTAGCGATTTTTTTTTCCTAATATCCAACCTAAACCTCCCCCACTGCAACTTGAGATCATTATTCCTTGTTCTATCATCTGGTACCACTGAGAACAGTCTAATTCCATCGTCTATGGAACCCCCTTTCAAGTAGTTGAAAGCAGATATCAAATCTCCCCTCATTCTTCTCTTTTACAGACTAAATAATCCCAGTTCCCTCAGCCTCTCCTCATAACTCATGAGCTCTAGCCCCCTACTCATTTTTGTTGCCCTCCGCTGGACTTTTTCCAATTTTTCCACATCCTTCTTGTAGTGTGGAGCCCAAAACTGGACACAGTCTTTCAGATGAGGCCTCACCAATGCCGAATAGAGGGAAATGATCATGTCCCTCAATCTGCTGGCAATGTTCCTACTTATACAGCTGAAAATGCCATTAGCCTTCTTGGCAACAAGGGCACACTGTTGAGCCATATCCAGCTTCTTGTCCACAGGTTCCTAGGTTCCATGAGTCAGAATGTGCAAGATCATAACCCCAAGTCACAGAGACCCCTTTGGGACTGTCACCTGACGTGCTGAAACTACCTCTGAATCCATTTTTCCTGTGAGGTTGGGGCTCCAGAACCCTGCCTTGTCAAGCCAGACATGCCAGTCTGCTCCAACACAGACCCAGGGTCTGAACCACATGCCCCAAAGCTGCATAGTTAACTGAAAACAGCTTAAGATGTCCTTTTGTCTCTAGTACCCATACACCAAGCTCCCAATGGGATCCAAACCCCAAATAAATCCATTTTACTCTCTATAAAGCTTATATAGGGTAAACTCACAAATTGTCCACCCACTATAACACTGATAGAGAGATATGCACAGCTGTTTGCTCCCCAGGACTCACAGACAATTGAATTTTGACTCTATGCCCTAATCCATTCCCCCTGAAACTTCACTTGAAAAGATGTATAGCACAGGTTTGACATCCCTCAGCTCTAGAAACTTGTCCCACGGCTGAGGGCAATTGGAGTGTCCTGCAACCATGCTGGCTCCCATCTATATAGTTTTGTGAATGTGGTGCCATTGTGTAAATATACACCATTTCTGTGCATAAAATCTTGTCTCCCTCTAGAGTCTGGGTTAATTAATAAGCAAAAGTGATTTTATTAAGAATAAAAAAGTAGGATTTAAGTGGTTCCAAGTAATAACAGACAGAACAAAGAAAGTTTCCCAGTAAAATAAAACAAAACAAGCAAGTCTAAGCCTAATACATTAAGAAACTGATTACAGATAAAATTCCACCGGTAGACATGTTTCAATAAGCTTCTTTCACAGACTGGACTCCTTCCTAGTCTGGACCCAATCCTTTCTCTTGTACAGATCTTGTTAGCTCCAGCTCAGGTGGTAACTAGGGGATTTCTCATGACTGGAACCTCCTTTCTTCTTTTCCGCCCCCTTACAAAGCTTTGGCACAAGGCAGGAATCTTTTGTCTCTCTGGGTCCACACCCTTCCTTCTAAATGGAAAAGCACCAGGATTAAGATGGATTCCAGTACCAGGTGACATAGTCACATGTCCTGTGAGACCCCAAGCCTTCACTCTTCCTGGCCTGACTCACAGGAAGGTTTGCAAGTAAACAGAGCCATTTACAAACAATTGTCCTAGTTGATGGGAACCATCAAGGTTCCAAACCACCATTAATGGCCCACAATTTGCACAATTACAATAGGACCTCAGAATTATATTTCATATTTCTAGTTTCAGATACATGAATGATACATTTATACAAGTAGGATGACCACACTCAGTAGATTATAAATGATATCTTACAAGTGACCTTTTGCATGAAGCATATTCAAGTTACATTATATTCACACTCATTAGGATATTTTCATAAAATCATATAGACTGCAACATCACATATATATTAGGTTAACATTTTGAATTCCTGAAAAAGACAAAAGATCTAAGGAGAGATTTTCTCAAGGCTTTCTTTACCTCCTTGTTTCTCAGGCTGTAGATGAGGGGGTTGACCAAAGGCGTCAGGATTCCATAGAAGACAGAGAACACTTTGTTCAGGTCCCTCAGTGCATCAGAGTCCAATAGCAGATACACCAGGGTCAATGTCCCATAGAAAACTGTCACCACGATGAGGTGAGAGGAGCATGTGGAAAAGGCCTTTTGCCTCATGGTGCTGGAAGGGATTCTCAGGATGTTGGAGATGATACAAACATAGGATGTCACTGTCAATAGAAATGGAGGCAATGTGAATATGGAGCAAGATATTAAACCAGCAACTTTCACCATGTGGGTGTCAGTGCAGGAGAGTTTTGTTATTGGATGAAAATCACAAAAGAAATGGTCAATTTCATTGGGGCCACAGAAAGTTAATTGTGACAACATAAATATAAAGATGGAAACAGACATAAATCCACCTATCCACAACCCAACCACTAGCTGGAGGCACAATCTGCCATTCATAAGTGCTGCGTAATGCAGAGGTTTGCATATCGCTAAATACCGATCATAGGACATCACAGACAAAAGCAAACACTCTGTCCCTGCCAGAGAACCAAAGAAATAAAATTGAATGATGCATCCCATAACAGAAATAGACCTGTCCCCAGTCAGGAGAGTGGTCAGCATCCTGGGCAGGATGGTGGAGGTGTAGCAGGTCTCCAAGCAGGACAAGTTCCCCAAGAAGAAGTACATGGGGGTGTGAAGGTGCTGATCAGTCACAAGTAGTGCAATGATGAGGATGTTCTCAGCCATGGTCGCAATGTAGATCACTAGAAACAGCAGGAAGAGAAGAATATGAAGTTGAGGGAGATCCCCAAATCCCAGGAGGATGAATTCTGTGATGGTCGTTTGATTTCCCTCGTGTATGTTTGATGTCAGCTTCATCTAGGGGAAATAAAAGAAATCATGCAATTAAGAATCTAACGTCCATTACAAAACAGTCATATTTTCTATTCCAGCTTCTCCCTGATGGTAGCCATCCCAACAGTTGAGTCAAGACTCCAGAGGGTGGAGGCAGTTGGGGTACAAATTTTAAAAAAAAGGTAAAAGTGAACTGACATTGGAAATGTAACTACTGCCTGGTATCTCTATGGTTGAATACATCTCACCTTCAGCTTCCTGAACATGTTTTTTGTATTACTATAACCACAATGTCTGAGGTTATCATTGTAGATTAAGGGGAATTAAATGTCACTCCATTGGCTTCATAAGGAAACCTCAGTAAAATCCTATTGCTGGGCTGATACTTCATTTACCCACATTTACACTGCGGAGTCCACCATATTCCAGTGGAGTGGTCAAAAGAATTTGACTCCAGAGACCTGGGTTTATTATTGGCTGCTCCACTCCCTGACGTTGGGTTTATCACTTCCTCTCGCTGTGCCTCTCTTCCCTCCATTATATAATAGTTGATGATGATACCACTTACTGTTTTCGTAATGTGACCTGAAATTTAGAAAAGAAAAGCTGTCTACATGTGCTTACATGCTCTTGTGTAAAATGGAGATATGATACTGAAGACACTATTCAAAATTTTACTAGTTATGTCAGTGAGTTTGCCTTATAACTTCTCATCGTTAGCAAACTGCTGTGAGACCATGCATAACTCTCAATATACTTTATGAAGAAAAAATAAATAGGCCTCAATGTCATATTTCCACCTCAATCTTGCAGAAATGGCTTTAATTTTTTGTTTAAAAACACGGTGTTTTTAGACACTTCCTTTCCCCCCACCCCATATTACAGGGAGATCTCTCCCATATGTCTCCTAATGGGAATCAGAGAGTAGGTTTCTTTATTGGCAAGGATTTGCAACTTCTTTTTGAGAGCTTTCAATGCCTAAAATTTATGGGTAATATTTTCCAAACTGCCAGACTTCGAAAATTATCCATGTACCTACACCTGCAGATTGGACACTCAATCCCTTTGAACATCTGGTGCTGAGATACCATGTGGCAGAATCTAGGATGCATAGTTAGATTAAGGAGTTCTGCCAATGCTTCCTTGGCTAAGGTGGCTGTGACATTTTGGGGAACATGTCTATGTCTGTTTTATCATTCCATTTTTTTTGTCAATGTCATTTCGAATTGGAACCATCATCCTGGATGGGAATAACTCTTTTGTAGAAGGAAACATGGAATGGGTCATGGGAAAGTCATGCCTTGGTAGCAGTGACAACACTATCAAGGGCCATCAACACTGAATGTCTCACACCTGGTGAAACAGTGGGAGTTTTGAGAACTAGGAACCTTGGCCAGATGTTGCCCATATCCAAGTACGTCAGCAGCACATGGAATTTAGAGGCTTGATCCAGTCATAAGAATCTGGTGTCTGTTTTGAGAAAGTAATTGAACCTGTTTGAAGCTAGGTTTTCCCTTTGACCAATATTTGAAATTGGCTCAACAAAGACACCAATGGGGCATTCATTAATCCAAACTGGTGAGTTTGTTGCCTGTTAGTTTCTTTCTTTGTTCTGTGTTTGCTACTTGACTGATATTATCATGTGGTCTGTTTTTTCTTGTGGGGATGGGATTTGGGGGGGTCTGTGTTCTCAGCCTAGGGGCCTGATAGATACTACTGGAGGCTTCCTAATGAGGCTTTGATCCCTAGACCCTTTAGCACCCATTATCCCTTAAACAGAAGGTGAAGCTACACAGGGAGAACAGGAGTTTAAAAAGCCAGCTCCTAAGTGATCAGAGCGACCAGGAGTGACCAGGAGCAGCAAAGAAGGGAGGTTTGTGAGGTAGTTTAGAGATGGAGTGAGAGAGCTAGATACACCTGATTAGCATTCTCTAATCTTAGATCAATATGCCCTCCCTCACCCCTTCCACCCAAAAAACACAGAGAAACAATACCCAACAAAAAAAGTTGCAAAAGAAAAAATAATGGATGCAGAAGTCCAGAAGCAGAGTAGGGGCTATCCAGTTCATTGCACTGAATGCAGCAAGTACCATTACCTGCCTTGTGGGAAGATGGGGTATGTGTGCATTCGGTGCAAGGAGCTTACGACCCTCAGAGACCGAGTATGGGTTCTGGAGACCAGAGTGGCTGACCTTCAGGAGCTAAGGGCGATAGAGAAGTACATAGATAAGATTTTCCGGGGCACAGCAGAGCGGTTCCACTCCCAGTCTGACAGCCTCTGTGCTGTTGAGGAGGATGGAAGTCTTGGGGAAGGAGAACACCAAAGTGGAGCAGAGAGAAACCCATAGTTGGGACCCTCCTGCCAGATGATGTCATGATACCCTCTTGGCCTGAGTATACCTGTCCGGGGGGCGGGGGGAGATCCTCATTTACTAAGAAGAGCCAGGTAATAGTAATACAGATAGTAATAGAAGAATAGATAATTGAAATATAGATAGTTGGGTTTGTGATGACTGGGTGAACTGCATGGTGAATTGCCTGCCAGGTGCAAAGGTTGCAGATCTCTCGACACACCTAGCTTTAGGAGAAATGCTGGGGAAGTGTACCACGTACGTGCCAATGATATAGGAAAAGGTAGAAGAGAGTTACAGCAGTCCAAATTGTAGCAGGTATTTAAGAGATTAAAGTCCAGGACCTTCATGGTAGCATTCTCCGAAACATTTTCATTTCTACACGTAGGGCCAGTTATACAGGCAGAACTTCAGGGTCTCTATGAGTGGATGAGATGATAGTATAGAGAGGAGGGGTATAGATTTATTAGGAATTGGGGAACTGTTTGGGGAAGGAGGAGCCTATACAGGAAGGATGGTCTTCACCTAAACCAAAATGGCACCATATTCCTTGCATGTAAAATTAAAAGTGTCGTAAAGGAGTTTTTAAACTAAGGGCTTGCAAAAATCAGCAGGTGCATCATAGCAACTTGGTGGAATGATGATAATCAATGGGGCACAATAATACCAGGGTACAAAATGAATAGGAATGGCAGAGTAGTTCATGCAATTGGGGGAATGCCACTATCTGTGAAAGAAAGTGTAGTAGCGTGAAATGTAGTCAAAAATCTTAAATGAATCAAACTGTACACTAGAATCTCTATGGATAGAAATTCCATGCTTGAACAGTAGGGATATACTAATGACCACCTAACCACAATGGTGAATGTGAAATGCTCAGGGACATTAGAGAGGCTATAAAAATAGAAAACTTAACAATAATGGGGGAACTGCACAAAAATGAGGATGCTAGCTCAAAGTACATTAAAAGGAACTGTCTGCAAAGTGAAATGCCTTCAGCCCCCAACTAAAACCCCTCCAACGCATTATTAAGGATCTACAACCTATCCTGAAGGATGACCCAACACTCTCACAAATCTTGGGAGACAGGCCAGTCCTTGCCTACAGACAGCCCCCCAACCTGAAGCAAATACTCACCAACAACCACATACCACACAACAGAACCACTAACCCAGGAACCTATCCTTGCAACAAAGCCCGTTGCCAACTGTGCCCACATATCTATTCAGGGGACACCATCACAAGGCCTAATAACATCAGCCACACTATCAGAGGCTCGTTCACCTGCACATCCACCAATGTGACATATGCCATCATGTGCCAGCAATGCCCCTCTGCCATGTACATTGGTCAAACTGGACAGTCTCTACGTAAAAGAATAAATGGACACAAATCAGATGTCAAGAATTATAAGATTCATAAACCAGTCGGAGAACACTTCAATCTCTCTGGTCACGCAATCACAGACATGAAGGTCGCTATCTTACAACAAAAAAACTTCAAATCCAGACTCCAGCGAGAAACTGCTGAATTGGAATTCATTTGCAAATTGTATACTATTAATTTAGGCTTAAATAGAGACTGGGAGTGGCTAAGTCATTATGCAATGTAGCCTATTTCCCCTTGTTTTTTCTACCCCCCCCCCCCCCGACGTTCTGGTTAAACTTGGATTTAAACTTGGAGAGCGGTCAGTTTGGATGAGCTATTGCCAGCAGGAGAGTGTGTTTGTGTGTGTGTGTGTGTGTGTGTGTGTGTTCCCGGGGGGGGGGAGGGGAGAAAGTCTGGACTTGTGCTGGAAATGACCCACCTTGATTACCATGCACATTGTAGGGAGAGTGGTCACTTTGGATGAGCTATTACCAGCAGGAGAGTGAGTTTGTGTGTGTATGGGGGTGGGGGAGGGTGAGAAAACCTGGATTTGTGCTGGAAATGGCCCACCTTGATTATCATGCACATTGTAGGGAGAGTGGTCACTTTGGATAAGCTATTACCAGCAGGAGAGTGAGTTGTGTGTGTGTTTTTTGGAGGGGGAGAGAGAACCTGGATTTGTGCAGGAAATGGCCCACCTTGATTATCATACACATTGTGAAGAGAGTGGTCACTTTGGATGGGCTATTACCAGCAGGAGAGTGAGTTTGGGGGGGGGGGGGCGGAGGGTGAGAAAACTTGGATTTGTGCTGGAAATGGCCCAACTTGATGATCACTTTAGATAAGCTATTACCAGCAGGAGAGTGAGTTTGTGTGTGTATGGGGGTGAGGAGGTGAGAAAACCTGGATTTGTGCTGGAAATGGCCCACCTTGATTATCATGCACATTGTAGGGAGAGTGGTCACTTTGGATAAGCTATTACCAGCAGGAGAGTGAGTTTGTGTGTGTGGTTTTTGGAGGGGGGTGAGGGAGTGAGAGAACCTGGATTTGTGCAGGAAATGGCCCACCTTGATTAACATTGTGAAGAGAGTGGTCACTTTGGATGGGCTATTACCAGCAGGAGAGTGAGTTTGTGTGTGGGGGGGCGGAGGGTGAGAAAACCTGGATTTGTGCTGGAAATGGCCCAACTTGATGATCACTTTAGATTAGCTATTACCAGCAGGACAGTGGGGTGGGAGGAGGTATTGTTTCATGGTCTCTGTGTGTATATAATGTCTTCTGCAGTTTCCACGGTATGCATCCGAT